GATGAGTTCCCTTCCCCTCTTGACTTGTATGGTTGTATGATTCTTGTTTATTTTAATCATGTGTATTGTGTTCTATGTTCCCTTTTCCCCACTTTGAGTTGTTCGCTGCCCTGAGTCCCTCCCGGAGAAGGGCGGCATACAAATAAACTAAATCTTAATCTTAATCTCTTCCACATCAGCCACCTTTAGACCTGGGGGCTGTCAACTCTCCATCTGAGGGCTGACGGACGGCCCAGGCTCCGCCCCCCTCTCTCCGTACCAACTGCATGCCCTCTCCCCCCTTGGAACTCTCAGATTGCCCTGATGCTGACCCTAACTCCCATGATTTGGTTGCTGGAGGGCCGGCGGCCAGCAAGCCACAACACTGCCATGTTGAAGACCAGGGTTTGGGGAACCTTGCCTTACACTGCAGCCCTAAAAAGCCCCCCTTTTCTTACCATCTTTTGTCAGGACAAACGTCGGAAGCCGGAAGCGCAAACTCTCCGCTAAAATGTACGCGCCGCTTGACGCCAGACAGAAATCCTCCGAGCGTCTCTGCAGGCTTGTCCCCGGCTCTTCCTTGGATGGCAGCGACCGTGCCAGCAGTCCGGACCGCCCGGACAACGCCATCGACCGCCAGACTTTGGAGAGCTTGAGCGAAGACGATTTATCCCTCTCCCACCTCCAGTCGTCCATCAGCAACTACTTTGGCGCTACTGGCCGTTTCATTTGCGGAGAGAAATACCAAGTGTTGGCTCGGAGGATCAGCCCGGAGGGAAAAGTGGAGTATCTCGTGGAGTGGGAGGGCAGCACACCCTACTGATGTGCGTTGGGAGCCCGCCGTGTGAAGCCATAAAGAGAGGAACAGGGTGGGAATGCAATCCAGGGAAAACAGTTTGCCCTGCACTGCCTTGGGGGGTGATCTGTTCAAGACCAAACTTCCAACGGTCTCTATTGTAGACCTTTTGGGCTGGGCTAGGAAAGGTGGAAGCGGGGGCTTAGCGATAAATGATTGTTCAGCCTTAGCTCCGTGTGGCTGTTTGGGACAAAAGGGGCAGCGAATTCCTGGGGCAGCCCCATAGAAATTATATCCCTTGGACAAGATTGGTTCCATCTAACATGGCACTTAGACAGAGAGAGGGAGGGAGGGAGGGAGNAGTAGGAGGAGGACTGTGGGGTCCTTGGTGCTCTCTGAGCTTGGTGGTTTTCTTGCAGACATTTCATGACCCAGCTAAGGAACATCATCAGTGCTAGAAGAGACTGGGGTTTGGGAAGTGCAGTAGGAGGAGGGCTGTGGGGTCCTTGGTGCTCTCTGAGCTTGGTGGTTTTCTTGCAGACATTTCGTGACCCAGCTAAGGAGCTTTATCAGTGCTGGAAGGGAGTGGGGTTTGCAGAGAGGAGGAGTGGGAGGAAGATTGTGGGATCCTTGAAGCTCTCTGGTGGCTTTCTTGCAACACCATCAGAGCTAGAAGGGAGTGGGGTTTGTGGAGTGGAACAGGAGGACTGTGGGATCCTTGGTGCTCTCTGCGCATGGTGGTTTTCCTTGTAGACGTTTCACGACCCAGCTAGGGAATATCATCAGTGCTAGAAGGCAGTGGGTTTGCAGAAGGGAGGAGAAAGAGGAAGAAAGGCTGAGCTGTGTGCAGGGTGGGGGTGGGGGTGTCCTTGATATTCCCTGGTTGTTTTCTTGCAGACGTTTCATGCCCAAACTAGCTAACATCATCACTGACTTGTATGGACCTGGGACAGGATTATTGATAACGTTGTGGATGCTCCTGCATTTAAGCTTCCGTATCGATTTAAAACCTTCTGTTTCCCCCCTCCTCCTTCTCAGGGTACCACCAACAGTGCCACATTCCACTGGTGGGGAGCCTTGAAGAGTCTTCGGTGACACCCTGGTTTTGTCGAAAATGTATCTTTGTGCTAGCCGTACGGGTGAGTGGCATACAAGAGGTTTTCTCCGTCGCTCTTCCTGCAAAGAAAATCCAAGGAGTTTTGAACCCCAGTAAAACAGAGGAGGCAGATCCTCGGAGCTACGCAAAACATAGATTTTTAGAGGTTCCATTCAGGTTTTTTCCCCGCTGGGTGAATGGAATCCTGAGCTTCAAACAAAATCTTCTTAAGATTTAACTTGTCCCCCAAAATTGCAAATTCTAAACGCTGATTCCAATTCCTGGTTGCAAAGGGATTTCTGTCTTCCAAGAATTCCGTTTAGTTTTCCAGGAAGAAGTTTTAGAATTCACACCCTTTTAAATTGTTGGGTTTTTTTAGACATTTTGCTGTTCCAGGGAACATAAAAACTAGGAAAATATTAGAATGTGCAGAAATGAACAGATTGACACTGGCTATCCAAGAGAAAGAACGAACTGATTGTTATACAACTGGGGAATCCTTTTGCCGGTGGTTAGAGAATAGACCTAAGAATTAATAGTAAAAGAAGTTGTGTAACGTATAAAAAAATGTATTAACAGTTGATATAATTAATCAGAGTTAAATAAATCATGATGAGGATTGTTATAGTATCAGACATTTTAGGTATTGGAAATTAAGCTAGGAAGAGATTGAATAATGAATTTGATTCTAAATTTTAACTGTTGGCACAAAATATTTGTACCCAGATAAACAAACTGTTTAATGGAAAATGGATTGTTTATATAAAAATAAAAATTTAAATTTTTTTAAAAAAGAGAAGATAAAGCACTAAGGTGCGTCTTATACTCCGGTGAGTCTAATACTCTGAAAAATACGGCAATTAAAAACAAAAAAGGACTCTTGCCCTTTGACTTTTGCGCTTTGATAAAAGAAGAGGAATGATTGCTTGAGGATGTGTAGTCAATGTTGTCGTTGTCGTTGTTGCTTTTTCAGAAAGGGGGAGCCTTGCGGAAAGGTGCTATCGCCCGGACTCTGCAGACCGTCAAAAAGGTCCTGTGCTATAATCCGGATCAGCTGGAATGGGATTCCCTTCACAGAACCAATCACCAGCAGTGTTACTGCTACTGTGGAGGCCCCGGAGAGTATGTTCTACATTGGGGGAATCATTTAAGGGTTCAAGAGGGTGAGGGACAGTGGTGGGGTTCAATTTTTTTTTACTACCAGTTCTGTGGGTGTGGCTTGGTGAGCGTGGCATGGCTTGGTGGGCATGGCAGGGAAAGGATACTGCAAAATCCCCATTCCATCCCCACTCCAGGGGAAGGATACTGTAAAATCTCTATTCCCTCCCTACTCCAGGGGAAGGATACTGCAAAATCCCCATTCCCTCCCCACTCCAGGGGAAGGATATTGCAAAATCCCCATTCCCTCATCACACCAGGGGAAATGCTACTGTAAAATCTCCATTCCCTCCCCACTCCTAGGGAAGGCTACTGCAAACTCTCCATAGAATATGGAATAGGGGAGAATAGAATAGAATAAAATAGAATATGGAATATGGAATATGATAGAATAGAATATGGAATATGGTAGAATAGAATATGGAATAGGAATAGAATAGAATATGGAATAGGAATAGAATACAATACAATATGGAATATGGACTATGATAGAATAGAATATGGAATAGGAATAGAATAGAATATGGAATATGATAGAATAGAATATGGAATAGGAATAGAATAGAATATGGAATAGGAATAGAATAGAATATGGAATAGGAATAGAATAGAATAGAATATGGAATATGATAGAATAGAATATGGAATAGGAATAGAATAGAATATGGAATATGATAGAATAGAATATGGAATAGGAATAATAGAATATGGAATAGGAATAGAATAGAATATGGAATATGATAGAATAGAATATGGAATAGGAATAATAGAATATGGAATAGGAATAGAATAGAATATGGAATATGATAGAATAGAATATGGAATAGGAAT